GGGGGGGGGGGGGGGGGGTGTATGAAACCATTGGAATGCCACCAAGACAGCCAGGACTTTAGGGTCCAAGATTTATGAGAGGAGAGAAACTCAGTAAGGTGAGCTCGACATTTATTTTGCTTTTATTCTTGAGGCTTTCCTGATTTGTAAGCAGTATGGGGAGAAAGGTAAAAAGGCAAGTAGAAAGGAACTGCCAGAAGGCAGAGAATCCAAGCAAAGCTTTTGGCAGTCTCATGGGACTGGCAAAGCAAAAGTTAGTCTTTATTGATACTAAGAGAGCTGGTAATTGAAGGGCTAATATCTTACAGAGAAGGGACAGGCAAGAAACAGATCCCAGTAGTCTGAGATACCTTATTTCTTGAGGCGTTTGCCAATTTCTAAGTGACCCAGTCTGAGAGAAGCCAAGCAAAACATGGCAACTAAGAGGCTAAATAACAAAATAGTATTTTCAGCAGTTTTATGGTACTGGGGAGATTAAAAGTGGAGAAATGGCATTGGTTTTCAGTTGAGATTGTTAACAGACTGTATTAGGCCTTATAAGGACTGAAATAGACCAGGACTTACAAAGATTGAAATCTGGTCTTGAGGAAACCCAAACCCTGGTTGGATTAAGACTTTATTCCTCTTATTCTAACTGCTTGCTAGAAGCTAAATACTCACCTAAAGTCTCTGTAAGTTTTTATATAAAATGTTGGATTAAATCACAAATTATCAGGCCTACTGCGATAGGACCAAGAGAAAAAACAGACCCACAGGTAGACTTGATGTTGGCATTTTCAGACACAGAATTTAAAATAACTATGAACGTGTTCAAGAAGTTTACCAGAAAAATATAATGTATTTTTAAAAAATAATGAAATAATAAAGCAAAATTATATAACAGTACTTTTTCATGAACATAGAAGAAAGTAATCTGAACAGAATATTGGTAAATCAGATATAGAAATAAGTGTACTTCACAAAATTCATGGACAAATAGAATTAAAAGATAATATGAATCTTTTCATGAACTTTTTGAAGTATCCTCATACATAAGAAGGATAATATATCATAACCGAGTTGGGTTTATTCCAGGAATGCCAGTTTTGTTAAACTCACAAATAAATTATATAATCCACCACATCAAAAAAAGAAAGAGAAAAAATATGGTTATCTCAATAAATGCACAAAAGCCATTGACAAAATTTAACATTCATTTATGATAACTCAGCATTCTAAGAATAGAAGGGAACAGCCTTAGTCTGATAAGGTATATCTATAAAAAAGCTACAGCAAATATACTCATTGGTGATATATTAAAAGCTTTTCCTTGAGATAAGGGAAGGATGCCCATTATCACCACCTCTATTCTCTTTTATACTCGATATCCTAGCCACTGCAATAAGGATTGAAAGATTTTTTAAAAAAAAGAAGAAATAAAAAGTATAAGAACTGGAAAGTGAAAACTTTATTATTACATGATTGTGTGGCTAGAAAATCTAAAAGACTTTATAGATAAGTTCTTAGAATAGATAAGTCAATTTAGCAAGTTGCTGGAGACACTGTACAAAAATCAATTGTATTTCTACTTGTCAGCAACAATAGAGAAAAGGAAAATTTGAAGGATATCATTTACAATAGATTAAGAAAAGTTAAAGTCTGTGTCATTATCTATTACTGTGTAACAAACCACCCCACAATATAGCAGTTTGAAACAGCAAACATTTTGTTTACAATTCTGTGGGTCAGCAATTTGGGCTGGGCTTAGCTGGGTGGTTCTTCTGCTGGACTCACCTGTGGTTATTCACATGGCTATAATTATCTGGCAGTTCAACTGAGACTGAGTGGTGTAAGATGACCTCACTCATATGTCAGCTGGTTGGTGCTGGCTGTCAGGCAGAAGCTCCAAGATCTCTTGAGGGCTAGGCCTCATAGGTTACACAACATTACTTCTCCCCCATCCTATTGACTGAAGCAAATTACAAGGTTAGTGATGATTCAATTGCAGTAGAAATAGACTTCACCTCTTGGTAGGAGAAGATGTAAAGAACTTGTGGCCATTTTTAATCTACCACAGATACTTAGGAGTAAATCCAACAAAAGATGTACAAGACCTCTACACAGAAAACAATTAAACATTATTAAGGAAATTAAAAACATACATATATGGAGGAATATACCATGTTAATACATTGGAAGATTCAATATTGTAAAGTTGTCATTTCTCTTTAAATTGATCTATAGATTCAATACAGTCCTGATGAAAATTCCATCACCTATTTTGTGGCAAATTGACAGGCTGATTGTAAAATTTGTATATAATTGAAAAGTGAAAAGAGCAGCCAAGGTAATTGTATTCGTCCATTTATGTTGCTTAAAACAGAATACCTGAAACTGGGTAATGTGTAAGGAATGAAATTTATTTCTTACAGTTCAGAGGCTGGGAAGTCCACAGTCCAGGTAATACATCTGGTGAGGGCCTTCTTAGTGGGAACTCTCAGGGTCCCATGGCAATCAAGGTGTCACATGGTGAGAATGGGCTGAGCAAGAGAGAACTAACCTTCTCACTCTCCTTATAAAGCCATCAGAACAATGCCATTATTCTGTGAATGGATTAGTCCATTCACAAGGCCACAGTCCTCACAATCTAATCACCTCTTAAAGGCCCCATCTTTCAAATGCCATAATTGGATTTCCCACCTTCAGTTTAACAGTGTTAAACTGTTACAGTGGTTGTCAAGTTTCTAATATATGAACTTTTGGGGGGACATACTTAACCCATGGCAGTAATCCTGAAGAAAAAGAACAAGTTGGAGAGCTTACACTATTAGATTTCAAAAATTACTACAAAACTACAGTAATTAAGCCAGTGTGGTATTGGTAGAAAGCAGAAGAAAATAAAACAGAAAAGAGAATCCAGAAATGGATGCATACGTACAGTCACTTGACTCATGACAAAGTTTACACTGTACTGCAATAGGGGAAAGGATGGTCTTTTCAAAAAACGTTACTTGGTCATTTTTTTCCATCTGGGAAAAATGAATCTTGATCTCTGTCTCACACCATACGTAAAAACCAAGTCTAGGTTGATTATAGATTTCAGTGTGAAAAGTAAAACAATAACACTTCTATAAGTAAACATGTGGGAATATGTTGTAGATAATATTTGTTGATCAAGCACAGGAAGCTCTTACCATAAAGGAAAAGATTGATAAGGTAGGTTTTGTTAAAATTAAGAACATTTGATCATTAAAAGGTATCATTTAATGAGTAATAAGTCAAGTCATAGAATGGAAGAAGATATTTGCAATACATTTACGTCTATTCAACAGAGGACTTATATACAGAACATATGAGAAAATCTCCTATGACGCAATAAGGAAAAACAGACAACTCACTTCAAAAATGAGCAAAAGACTTGAATAGGCATTTCATGAAAAAAGATATCCAAATGACCAATATACATATGAAAAGGTGCATAAGCTCATTTGTCAACAGGAAAATGGACATTAAAACCACACTGAGGTACCATTACATACTCATCAGAATATTTTTTAAAACACTATATACCAAATGTTGATGAGGATATAGGATAACAGGTAATTTCAATGATGGCTGGAGGGAGTGTAAACTGATTCAACCACTTTGGAAAACTTTAGAAAACCACTTTGGAAAACTGTTAGGCAGTATATACTGAGGTTGAACATGTCCATTCTTTATGACCCAGCAGTTTTACTCTGAAGTATATATCCAAGAAAAATGCATATGAATGTGCCCCAAAAGACATGTCTAAGAACGTTCATAGCAGCATTATTCATAATAGCAAAAAAAATTGAAACAACCCAAGTTTTCATCAACAGTAATGGTTAAATAAATTGTTTTATATGTACAATGGAATATTATATAGCCGCAATTTGTTAATTTTCATTGCTATATGCAACAACCCAGTGAATCTCACACACTTNGAAAACTTTAGAAAACCACTTTGGAAAACTGTTAGGCAGTATATACTGAGGTTGAACATGTGCATTCTTTATGACCCAGCAGTTTTACTCTGAAGTATATATCCAAGAAAAATGCATATGAATGTGACCCAAAAGACATGTCTAAGAACGTTCATAGCAGCATTATTCATAATAGCAAAAAAATTGAAACAACCCAAGTTTTCATCAACAGTAATGGTTAAATAAATTGTTTTATATGTACAATGGAATATTATATAGCCGCAATTTGTTAATTTTCATTGCTATATGCAACAACCCAGTGAATCTCACACACTTAATGTTGCCTATAAGAAGCCACATATAATGAAGTACATACTGATGATTTCATTTATATAAAACTCAAAGCAAAGAAAACTAATTGGTGGTAGTAGCAGTCATGATAATAGTTATCTTTAAGGAAGAGAGAGGGATTGGTGACTGGGGGTCTGCAAATGGGGAGGGGGCTACTTCCAAGATGGGGAAAATAATTTACTTTCTGATCCGGGTGGTGGTTACATCATTGTGTTCCCTTTGGGAAATACCATTGAATTATACATTTGATGAGTACACTTTTCTGTATGTGTGGCAGTCATCAACCAAAAAGTAAAACATGACAAACAGATACAAAATAGACCAAAAAGAATTACGCCATGAAGCTAACAGTGTTTATTTCTTGTGATGTGTATGACTTTGGGTGATATATATATATAATTTTTCCCCCCTAGTCCTTTATTTTTATAATGATAGAGAAAATCCTTATTTATTGGAAAGTTAGCATGACTTGTAGCTTTCATGGAATCCAGAATTATAGTGCCCTGGAAAGCCATCATATGGCTAAAGTATGTCATTTCCTTTCTTCCCTAACTAGGCCCTAAAAAGCACCTTGGGATTTCCATTGATTCGGTTTGAAGATGCTGTGATTAATTTGGATCCATTCACTCGGGTACATCCCTATGAGACCAAGGAGTTTATCATCAATGATATTCTTAAACATTTCCAGGAGGTAAGCTTTGGAAAAGTACTTAGTGGCTGGAGCATAAACAGAATGTTTGTTTTAGTTGTTTGGGAATTTTGGTTACTTAGACATTACTATTTAGAACCCAGTTAAGCATTGCAGCTCTGTTGTGTTATGGGTTAGGTCACATCCCATGAATACAATGAAAATCCTGAGACAGTACATTTGACTTATGAGTTGTTAGTCTTGTCCCTCAGAGCTAATCTCAGGGGCTCCCATTAGGTTAATCACGACTCTTAATGGCTTAATTAATGCTTTAATAATAACACAAAATACTGTGAACTCTTTATTTACTAGGCATGGGCCTATTTTCAACAACCACACCAGTGTTCTAGATCCTAGGAGATCCTGCCCTTGAGTTGATCTTGAAAATTTTTTTATAATCAAGTTGGATATTTTCTGTTTTGCAGAATGGACTGCAAAGACCATAGTGTAAAGCCGAGGCATAGTTTTTGATGAATAGATAGGTCAAGATCATATCAAATTTATTAGCTTTCAAAGTTAAAATACATCTGTTCTTACTTCCTTTTCTCCTTCCCTACCTTTCTTCCTTGCTTCCTTCCTTGACTTTCCTAATTGGTAATATTCCCACCTACCTCTAAGAAGAGTGAGATAGTAAATATCACCTGAATAAGGCAATTGGAGGTGCAGAAAAAGTGGAGTGTTTCTGAGAAGTCTGTCCATGCCCTCTTCCTGTCTCCCACCCCCTCCACGGCATATGAGGGGAACTACAAATCTACTTTCCTCCCTCCCTTTTCTTTTAAAATCCTCCCTGCTGCTGATTAATTCTCTATTTGTAGAAAGGATGGAAAGGAGAGTGATATATATATTAATATGCAGGTACTTCAAAAAGTTCATGGAAAAATAGAATTAAAAAATAATACGAATCTTTCTATGAACTTTTTGAAGTACCCTTGTAAATACTCTTAAAGAATCTTTCTTGTTTCATAGCTATTTTTATTCTTCTAACTGGCTTCGAAGAGTATTTCTAAGAGTATTGAAAGCAATCTTTAGGATGTGTATATTGGGAGAAGTTTAGGTGGAGCCCGTGAAAGGATAGGAGATTATTTTACAGTTGATGAAGATTAAAGGGTAATTGTTGGTAGTAATGGGAATGGAGGACAAGATGGACTTCTAACCTTTTTGCTTGGGACATTGGTATCTGGAAATATAAACAAACACCAATTTGATTTTTCTCTGTCTCCATTTGATAGGAACTCCTCAGCCAGGCAGCTCGAATCCTGGGATCGGTGGATTTTCTTGGCAATCCCATGGGGCTTTTGAATGATGTTTCTGAAGGGGTTACTGGACTGATAAAGTATGGAAATGTTGGGGGCCTTATCAGAAATGTTACACATGGAGTATCAAACTCTGCTGCCAAGGTAAGGAAATAAAGGTGAAATTCCATTATAATTAACCTCGTGAGTCTTCTACTTTACTGTAGTTTCTCTGATAGTTAATGGGCTGTGGGAAGTTATGTCCATGTCCTTTGCTTCATTGCCCACGTGCCTTACCTTTTCCTCACCTCCATTAACCTGTCACCAGCCTACTGAATCCACCTCGAGAACATCTTTCTTCCCTCTCTCCATTACTATTGCCCTTGTCCAGGTTCTGCTTATCTCTTACCTGGGCCAGTGCCATAGCCTCCTGACCCCCCGGACTTCCTTGCATCTTTTACAATGCCACTAGAATGAGCTCACTTTTTAAAACAGAAGATTGTTTCTGTCCATTCTCCTGCCTAAAGTCTACCAGTTAATCCCTTCTATGATCAGCTTTCTACAGTGACAACCCTTCAAGTCGTCCAGCAGCGAAGGACAGTGGTGTAATTCTCCTGTTTCTTGCAGCCTAATTGACTTTTTTAAATTTTCGTGGCTGGCCAGTATGGGGATCTGAACCCTTGACCTTGGCCAGTTGACCTTTTTGTTCACTGGCATCTTACTTGGTGGACATTTTGTTAGTCCACTCTATATTTTCTGGTAGGAGTTGATTTTATGTGTGAAACTGGAAATGCTGAAGATAGTTGAAAGGTAGTTGCTACTTGACAACATACAAAATTTCTCTAAAGGGCTCTTTCTTCTCCTTCCTTTGAACTCAACAAACATTTCTTATGGAGGTTCACTTTTTCATGAATGAACTCAGTTTGAGAAAACACCTATTTTTTACCAAAAGATACATTTATGGTGCTACACAAGAATTTATCTTGAAGAGCAGGTAAAAAGGTAGAGTTGGATAGCATTTTTTTATTTTATTTTATTTTTTTTTTCTTTTTGTCTTTTTCCGTGTCCGGCAACGGATCGCAACCCTCAGTGTTGCCCCCGTACCAGACCGGGGACCGGCAACGGGACCGCAACCCTCGGTGTTGCTCCCGCGCCTCACTCAGCCAGTGAGCGGGAACCGGTCTGTATGTGGGATCCGAACCCTCGGGCGGGAGCGCCGCCGCACTTCCTGAGCGGCGCGCTATCCAGTGCGCCACTGGGCCGGCCCGAAGATAGCATTTTTTTATTGCATGGTTTTCCTATTAATAATGTGTGAAAGCTGGGAATTTATTCCTTTTTCCAAACTATTTTCTAGAGATGCCAGTTCGTTTGTCAGATCAGTTTCTTCAGTACTGTGATTTTATTGAACCAGACCAAAAGTGTACTGTGCAACTTGTGGTTCAAAATGGGCAACACTTTCCCTTTAGAGAAAGAGTGAAAGGCAGAGGTGACAGACTTTCTTACTCATAGTTTGAAAATAGCGAGACTCAGAATCAGAGTCTGAACGCATGCACACACATTCTGCCTTGAATCCTTTCTTATGCTGCACTTGGACTTTGGCCCCTTATGCAACATAAAGAGCATCATGGTGGTGGCACAGATTCCTCGTTCTTGTTTTAGCTATTGGATTTAATATAAACAGATGCACTTAAATATTTCATTGTAAATGCCCAGTTTAAAGTCTTCATTAAATTCTAATTAACATAGGAAAGTCTCCCTGGTTTTATAATTTCTTTCTTTGTTTTTATATCCCTGGAATTTACTGTAATTTGAAAAATAAATATGCTTATGGTTTACTGAGAGGACTTCCCTAACCAGGAATAGAAATGCACCTATTCTCACTTGGGAAAGTGTAGTGCTGGTAACACCAAGGTCAAGGGTTTGGATCCCTATATCAGCTAGCCACCAAAAAAAAAAAAAAAGAAAAGAAAAGATAAGAAATGGACCTACTTTACAGGCTTATTGGTAGGATAAAGAGATGGGACATTAAGAAAATTATGAAAAATACAAACCAAAGAAGAGAAATAGATCATCACTTTGACTGTAATATTTGCATTGAGACTCGAACCACCAGAAAAACATTACTGCCCTTAAAATGAAAGCCGGTATATTATGGTCTGCAGAGGAGGAGGATCCTGGGCACTCAGAGTAGAGAGTCAACCCCCATCCGGGCCATTTTGGCTATTAGGAAACCGCTACAGTTAACCTTCTGCATAAGAATGAAGAAGCTGTTGATTCGCCTGTGTCTCTTTACAGGTGAGACCCTTTATGAGTTTCTTCACAGTTTCCCTGCAATATCCTGGTGAAAAGAATTGGTCCTTTCCTTATTCTCCCTCATTTATAGTAGTCTCATTTATTTTCTGGTTCTTCTTTTTCCCCTAGAAAACTGTTTTTGAAGTTTGAGGGACAGCATGAGAATATGTCTTAGGCAGAAAGAAAGGGCAAAGTTCTCCTTATCCTATCCCCACTCCCGGATCTACAGGAGGGCCTAGAGGCAGCGATAATGCATTTTATGGTTATTGTGCTTTATTTTGTCATTGGATTTGCACGAAGGTATTGCTTTCCAGGGCACAAGTCCTCTCGAGTGTGAACTTTGCTCCCCATGTGGTTGGGGTTCTTTTTCATTTATTCGTCTTGCCTTTCTTTAATAAGCTAATCAGTATTGGAGCCACAGGCTGAGGGAAATTGCTGTTTAATTTATTTTGATACCAAGAACCCTAGATGTGTTAGAAAAATTAGTCATCAGTTCTAAGGTGAGAAAACAAACTGAAAATTACAACTTCACACAGGAAAAGGTAGATCCAAAAGCTGGGTCTGTCAACTAAGCACCCATCCATGTCACCTGTGATTCTGCTTATGTGCTTGGGCTAAAGATCTCCATTTTCTTGTAGTTTCGTAGGTTGAAATCAGACCTTTAATATTACTTCCGGGGAGTGTTTTGTTTGCTTCTCTGTGTACACAAGAGAAGTTTAGGAAGTGCAGATGACCACAGTAATCAACTGTTGCCTGTGGTAAGTATTCCTTTAAAAGAGTGCCTCAGTTCTAGTGACTGGAAAAAAAGGTCAGAGAAGACAGAACTGCACCTCACTCTCCAGCTAGCCAGCCCTACTTTGCTGCACAGACCAAAGGGCTTTAACCTGGTTTGATGGGCTTTGAATGGAGTGGAGAAGCTCCATAAGCCTCTTAATTATAAATATTCTATATATGTGTGTGTTTTTCTGGGATGAGGGTCAAAAGGTTTTTTGGATTCTCAGAAAGATTCATGTCTCTAAAGGATCATAAACCGTTATTATTTACATAGGATTGTGCATTGAGGGCAGCTTGGGCTGGTAGTCAGGATACTGGGGCTCTAATTCCATTTCTACCCTTAAATAATTGTTTCCTCTGTTAGTCTTGAGGGTTTTGTTTTGCATCTTAACACACGCACCAGAAAAGGTGATGCTAATTCCCCCTGACTTGAGGAGCAAAAGAGATGAAGTATGTGAAAACCTAGGGAGAAGTTGAGGGAATTATTGCAAAAAAATCTACTTTCTCCTAGTTTGAAGAGATGATGTGAAAACCTAGGGAGAAGTTGAGGGAATTATTGCAAAAAAATCTACTTTCTCCTAGTTTTGTGTCATATGAATATCTGCAAGACCCTCTAACCTCTTTCAAAGCCAGAAAATTAGGAGACCCTCTATTGAACAAATCCCCACTCTTACATAGGTTCCAACTTCACTTATAGCTGTGATTATTGTGTAACATTTTCACATACAGGAAAATTACATAGCTGTTCTCAAAAAAATAAAAATTCTTTTCAAACTAAGACAATCTCAGATGTTAACAGTGGAGCAAATGATTCCATTCTTTTTTCAGCTCCTGTAGAAATTCAGTGTTTGCCCTCCACAGCTGTCATTTGCTCTTCATAAGGGAAGAAAACCAACATCATACTTAATTTCTTCCAGCAAAGGAGAGGAACGCTTCTGATCATCGCTGATGGAACCTCTGCTTTATTATCCTACTTTCACCCCTCTGTGTCTTTATCAAGTCAATATAGGATGCTTTTGATCTTGGGTACCTTTTTGATCCCATGTATATTTTGATTCTGTGTTTATGAATACAAATATTTTAATAACTCTCCATGTTAAGAACATAAAATTATTTTCATCACGGTCCGTTGTTCATGGAAATTAGAATTCATTGTTATTATTTGCTACATGTTAATTTTGCTGATAACTTTTGCAGTTGTAGAGTAGGTTTATTTCCTTCTCTTTTGCATTGTGGCATTTATTCTTCCAAGCTCAAATTTCCCAGCTCAAATTCTGCAGATCTGAATTTTTGTCAGTGAGGTGTAATTTGTCTGTCAGTTTTTAATTGATACATTCTATTCGGTGTCATTTTAGCCATTGTTTTGTTGTTTTAAATCACTTTTGTTTGTTATAAATTGGATAAAGACCTAAAATTTTTGTATGATTTCTTGGTGCAAATAGCATTAGGAAAAGACATAGGAACAAGGTCAAAACACCCTTCTTCATTATGGAATGCATACTAGTTTATGAAGTTTTATTGAATACCTTCTGTTTGTCAGGGCTGGTGGTAGACCTTTTATATACATTGTCTTGTGTGTGTTAATCTCTATTCTGCAAGTCAGGAAACTGAGACTTAGAGAAGTTAAGTAATGTTTTCAAGGTCACACACCTAGAAATGACAGGGGTGGATTTGAATCCAAGTCTGGCTAATTCTAAAGGCCTGGTTTTTTTCTCCTACATGATATTTTTCCATTCTTAAGGCATTCTTTCAGGAATTACAGAGAATATAAAACATTGATTACTGCTAACTTCTCACGAGAATCTTATTATTGATATCACTTTGTTTGCTGGTAAGTTGACCACTATCAGGTCATCCTTGTCACAAAGCAGGCCCTCAGGATATGGTGGTGGTCATGGTTGTTCTTGTGTTGGATTGGTCATGACCGTCAGTATCTACTTTCAGGCAATAAGAACCTTGTTGATTGCAAATGTGGTTTTACTCATGTGGTGTCATTGATCATGAAAATAACCAGGTAGGTAGTGGGGTAGGCATTATTAGCCCAATCATATAAATGAAGAAACTGAGGCCCAGAGAGGTCACTTGCCCAAAGTCAGCCG